AACTTTAGCACCAAAACTCTGGCCTTTTATAAAATACTATTGTATTTGCCTAACAGCTATATATCAATTTGTAGAATATAAATTTGATGAAGACCAGGATCTGTGTCTATTTTATTTCCTGATGTATCCCTACTTCTAAAACCACATCTGGAAGATAGAGGTACTCAATAAATGTTTGCTGAATAAGTAAACTTTCACATAAAACATTATTGAATGATGGCAAAAATATGTCCTAAAATGATTTTATTGTTCTCTTCTGTAAAGATAGACTCAATCCTCAATAAAATTCTGTCATACAAGCAGGATTGACAGTGACTTATCCCCATTATTTCCCTTAATTTTATAAAATGTCTGACTGCTAGTATTTTTTTTTTTCATTTGTCGTAGTGGTAATTCCTGGAATCATATACAAAAGTAAATGGCTTTAATGCACTGCCTTATAAAGTTCCGAGTGAGGGTTTCAAGAAAGCTCAGAACCTTTGGTGGACAGGGACACAAGATGAACTGCAATGTATAAAGAGATATGGAATAGAACCATAACATAAAGAACATTGGCCACGATGAAAATCTTATATATCATATTTTTTTATTATATGACACTCTTTTTTCCCCACATTTTAGCATCACAAAAATTGAAATCAATCTAACAATCAATGGAGTTGTTTAGTATAATTGGTAATATTTTATTCTTATTATTGGTATATAAAATAATGCCATGTTTCAAAACATCTGGCATTTTTTATTCAATTAAATGCTTTTATGACTTCAGTATCCATAACGGGGGTAGACAGAGGTTATGGAAAGAGAAGAGAGAGGAGTGAACTAAAATTATGAGGAACAAAGAAAGGCATTACAAATGTATATCTACCTATCACTATTCTGTGTTTTATATATGTAAAACCCTATATGTATGGAAATATATGCCAGAAGCAGTTGTGAATGTCTCTACGTTATTCCCTAAACTCCTTAAGAGCAGGACTATGTATTAATCCTCCTTGTATTCCCCAGTGATGAGCATTCAATAGAAGTTTAAATTTATTTGTTCAAGTAAGTTAAATCTAATAACTTTGCCTTTAACAGAATGGACAGCAAATAGAATTTGTTGAGATAAATTTGTAAAGTACTTCTATGAAGTACATTAAACTCTCTGATAAGGAACATTAACTTACTTGGGCTATTTGATTCCTCTCTAATTCACTGATGCATTCATTTTCTAAATACAGTAATTACCAAATCAGGAATTACTAATAGAGAAATGAATTAAAATCTACTGCTCCAGGGCATTTAACAATGCCTAGGGGACCTAAAATATTTCTGAAAAATAAACAAATTCTCCAGAAGTTCCTTGCCTACTAGCAGAATTAACCTTGTTAATTGTCACACATGTGAGGTAAATTTATAAATGTCTCAATCTTCTAGGAGTTTATACAAGTGAACACATTACTGCAACTGACACACTGTACATGGAAAATATACAAACGGTGCAGAGTGATTAAATAGAAACACATTCATAATTTGTTCAACCTCAACATGAATAAATTTAGAAGTAGAATGAAGAAAACATGACCAGCGTGTTTAAATACATGATAGAGATGATAAAGGATCAGTTCTGATAAATCAAGGAAGGCACCACATCAATGTTGCCATTTCCAGAGTTCTCTGAATGATAGGAAAAATTATTTCAATTACCAAGTGTGTGGGAAAAATTTTTTCCAAATCATGGATATTACTAGAGAAAACAAAAATTGATAATGAAACATACATAGGAAGGAGGGGTTTAGAAGAAATATGACTTTCAAACTGAAGGAAAACAGAACTCAGGTGGCACTGAATTCCCAGTTCCAGTGGCAGTATAAAGGCATTCTTATTCCATTTGCCTTCCTGAAAAGTCACTGAACAGCTAAGAAGGGGAAAACAAAATAAAACAAAACAAGTTTTAAAACCTCAGTAGTACCTTCCTTCTATCTTTAGTAAACCAGGCAAACAGCCACAATCCACCCCCCCAAAAACAATAAACAACTTTGAGGAATAATGGAAAAAAACACATTTTGTTCTGTATCAAAGGAAAAGTAGATTCTGAGAACAAGACTCACCGCAACCCTCTCCCTCCCCCTCTAGACCTGAATAGGAATTTTTTCCCTTTAAAAGTATGTGGGACAATCCAGAACTACTCCCTCAAGCTGTTTATAGCAAGAGCCATGAGCAAGGCTAGGTGAACAGACTGTCAGTCCCTCCCCATCCTACCCTGGGGAGATCAGCTGAAGAAGAAGTCACACTGGGAGCCCACTGGGCTGCCCAAGTCCTGGCCAAGCCACCAGGGGCAATGGTTGAAAGATGAAGGTGAAGCAAAAAGGAAAGGCAAAGGGTAGCACATGGCAGCAAAGCCACTGGAGGGCATTTATTGTGAGTCCCACAAAGCTCTCTGGGCTGAGAAATAGGGGCAGAGTTGATCAGATGAGTGTGGGTCCAAGAATTACAAATCAATTAAAGCTGAGCAGCTGCCTCATTGAAAGATGAGTATCGGGCTAGAACTAGTATAGAGTATGCTAAAAAAAAAATTCATTATTTGAATAGAAAAAGCATGAGGTGTATGAAGGACCAGAATTGTATGCTTTGGCTACTTCAGCCAATAAGATAGACACCTGCTTTCAAGGAGCTTCGTTCTAGTAAGGGAGACAGACAATACACAATCATCAAAAGCTAATTAAATTAGTATGTTAGAAAGTGGTCATTGTTATGGAAACAATTTTAAATAGATCAGGTGAGGGGGATCAGAGGTGCTGAAGCAGAAGTCAGGTGGCGGTATTAAATAGGACAGTCAGGGATGCCACGCTGAGAAGATGAGATCTGTGCAAAGACTAGATGGAGACACAGACACTAAGGAATCAGATGTCTGATAAAGGATCAGTGTAGGCACAGGGAAAGACTCTGTGTGTGGGTGTCTGAAACATAATGGAGCAGGAGATCAGGAAGAACAAGGTACAGCTGAACAGAAATTGAGATCAGATCACCTTCTTACTTTCTATTGTAGGGTTCTGATCAAAGGAGTGATGAAATCTGATTAATGCTCTAAAAGAACACACTGATTTCTCTGTTGAGAATAGACTGTCCAGGCAAACTTAAATGCAAAAGGAGCTGTTAGAAGCTTCTCCAGTAACCCATGTACAAAATGATGGGTAATGGTGGTTCAGGCAAGGGTGGAGATAATTTAGATGGTGAAAAGTGGTTGGATTCTGGATATAAGTTAAAAGAACCAATGGAGTTTCCAACATCTTAAGAGTGAGTGGCAAGGAGAATAAAGGATGATTCTAAGGTTTCCAGTGAGAGCACATGGAAGAATGGTATGGTCATCAGCTAAGAAGGAGACGGTAGATGCTGTGTAGTAAGTGTAAAGGGGGAGATCAGGGGTTCCATTCTGGAAGCACTGAATGTGAGCCATCCACTAGGTACCCAGGTGGAGGTGTCCAGGAGACCTTGGAATGGATGAGTCTGGAGGTCAGGATCAGGTCTGGGCTGGAGATATAAATTCAACCAGTGTCAGGGTTCGATGGGACTCAAAGCCAGGATGAGCTCAGAGACCGATGACTTCACCAGGAAATAAGTGAGGAGAGAAGGGACTAAGACCTCAGTCTGGGGCTCTCCAACATGCAGTATGGAAGTACAGAAAAAGGAAAAAGAAGAGCAAAGAACCTTGAAAAGTCACAGCAGTGAGGAAAACCCAGAAGGAGGGGACAGGTAGGTGTGTATTCTGACAGATGAATATAACAATGGGGACGTCGCTGAGAACCTTGACCCAGGTACTGTTGTGAAGAGGAGGAAGGAAGTAAAAAAAAGTGACTGGAGAGGTTTAAGAAAAAATGGGCAGAGAAGAAGTGAAGAAAGTGAGTACAGACGAGTCTCGCTAAGAATTTACTGTATGGAAAGAACATAAAAGGAATGTAGAGGAAGTGAAGATGAGAGAAAATTTTTTTGTTGTTTTGTTTGTTTTTCATAATATCTGAGAAATAATGGCACATTTGTATGGTGGGAAAAATAAAATTGGTTACAGAGAAGAAAACAGGAAAATTGCCTCTGAATATTCTTGAATATGGAGAGAGGTTGAGGTCTATACTATAGCAAGAGGGGTTTAGATAGGATCAGAGAAGGTTCAACTCTGTGAAAAGTGGGAAGAAAGGGAGGAGTACTTATGGGAAGAGCGTGTGATGCTGGGAGCTGTTTCCTGATTGTTTGAATTTCTTTGGTGAAATACAATGCAAGGTAAGAGCACAAGGTCACATTATTGGTGATTCAAGATAAAAGGAAAATTTTTGAGATCATCACCTGAAGAGTGGGACAGTAAGCATTTCATCTGAAGTGGAATGAGACATGAGAAAGCTTGGAGACTGGGCAGAGTCAGAATGAGATTGAAAAAGTGGTCCCCAAGGACCACACTCTCTGAGTAAGGTCTATTTGTGAGATGACTTACTCTTGAAATGCAACCAAATTTTGAAGCTCTTTCTTGCTCTTGCAGAGCTGAATGTATTTGACCTACAAATTTGATAAATTTCATTTCTACAATTCTCACATAAATATAAAAAGTAATCTTACATTGAATGAAAGGTGACCCTACCCTCTCTTCTTGCTTAATCTCTACCATTTGTTATTCCATCCAAAACCTTCTCCCCAAACCCTGATACACCGTGGTTTTGTACCCTTTCCTCGATTATTCCATATGCAGAATCTATTCCAGTAATCAATGTCCCTTACCCATAGAACAGATTCTTAGGATGGATTCCCAAGTAAGTGAGAGACAGAATTACCTTTCCCAAAATACTGAGTTACTTTTCCACCAGACTTTAAAATACTGACTAAACTAATGTCAATCCTTTTATAATTTTTAATTTGTATGAGAATCTCTCATACCAAGAGGAACTCCAGAACCTAAATGCACACTACATACTCTTATTTTCAGTTTTATTTTCCAAAAGCATTCAATGAAGATTTTTAAGAAAGTGACTTACCCAGTCAGTTTGACTGCATGTGTATGAAGCTTTTGATATTTTTCTGATTCTTCATTTGTGCCGGTAACATGTCTATATATCCCTTTCTTATAATTGAAGAAATCCTCATGGACTTGCATTATGGCTAAAATACAACACAACAGGATAAATGACACAGTTTTAAACCATTATCTTTAAACACTTCCAGAAATTCTCACAGAACAGTCAATGAGAAAATTGCCAGGGGTAGAATCTAAGAAGGAATTTTGCAATTCAGCCTAATTTTCTTTCCTACTTAATTGGCTGCAATATTTTCTTGTTCTCTTATAAAAATAACTTTTAGCTACTTAGAATATTACTTAAGGTCACATTATACTTTTAGAATGCCATCTATTTTTTCAATAGATCTTTGTTGGAGTATAATTGCTTCACAATACCATGTTAGTTTCTGTTGAACAAAAATGTGTATCAGCCATATACATACACATGTCTCCATATGCCCTCCCTCTTGACCCTCCCTTCCATCCTCCCTATCCCACCCCTCTAAGTCATGGCAAAGCACTGAACTGATCTCCCTGTGCTATGCTGCTACTTCCCACCAGCCAACTATTTTATATTCGGTAGTGTATATATGTCGATGCTACTCTCACTTCACCCCAGCTTTGCCCTCCCACCCCATGTCATCAAGTCCATTCTCTATGTCTACCTCTTTGTCCCTGTCCTACAACTAAGTTCGTCAGTACCATTTTTTTTTTTTTTTAGATTCCATATATATGCATTACCATACAGTATTTGTTTTTCTCTTTCTGACTTACTTCACTTTGTATGACAGACTCTAGGTCCATCCACCTCACTACAAATAACTCAATTTCATTTCTTTTTATGGCTGAATAATATTCCTTTGTATATATGTGCCACATCTTCTTCATCCATTCATCTGTTGATGGACATCTATGTTGGCTCCATGTCTTAGTCATTGTAAATAGTGCTGCAATGAACATTGTGGTGCATGTCTCCTTTTGAATTATGGTTTACTCAGGGTATATACCCAGCAGTGAGATTGCTGGTCATATGGTAGTTCTATTTTTACTTTTATTTTTTTATTTTTTTATTATTTTTACTTTTTTAAGGAACCCCCATACTGTTTACCATAGTGGTTGTATCAATTTACATTCCCACCAACAGTGTAGGAGTGTTCCCTTTTCACCACACTCATTCCAGCACTTATTCTTTCTAGCTTTTTTGATAATGGCCATTCTGACTGGTGTGAGATGATACCTCATTGTAGTTTTGATTTGCATTTCTCTAATAATTAGTGATTAGCATCTTTTCATGTGCCTCATGGATATCTGTATGTCTTCCTTGGTGAAATGTCTATGTAAGTCTTCTGCCCACTTTTTAACTGGATTGTTTGGTTTTTTGATATTGAGCTCCATGAGCTGTTTGTATATTTTGGAGATTAATCCTTTGCCAGTTGCCTCAATTGCAAATATTTTCTCCCATTCTGACGTTTGTCTTTTTGTCTTGTTTATGGTTTCCTTTGCTGTGCAAAAGCTTTTAAGTTTAATGAAGTTCCATTTGTTTATTTTTGTTTTTATTTCCATTACTCTAGGAGGTGGGTCAAAAAAGATCTTGCTGTGGTTTATGTCAAAGAGGGTTTTTCCTGTTTTCCTCTAAAAGTTTTATAGTGTCCAGTCTTACATTTAAGTCTTTAATCCATTTGGAGTTTATTTTTGTGTATGGTGTTAGGTAGTGTTCTAATTTCATTCTTTTACATGTAGCTGTCCAGTTTTCCCAGCACCATTTATTGAAGAGGCTGTCTTTTCTCCATTGTATGTTCTTGCCTCCTTTGTCATAAATTAGGTGTCCATATGTGTGTGGGTTTATCTCTGGGCAGTCTATCCTGTACCATTGATCTATATTTATGTTTTTGGGCCAGTACCATATTGCCTTGATTACTGTAGCTTTGTGGTATAGTTTGAAGTCACAGAGCCTGATTCCTCCAGCTCCGTTTTTCTTTGTCAAGATTGCTTTGGCAATTTGAGGTCTTTTCTGTTTCCATACGAATTGTAAGATTTTTTATTCTAATTCTGTGAAGAATGCCATTGGTAGTTTGATAGGGATTGCATTGAATCTGTAGATTGCTTTGGGTAGTATAGTCATTTTCACAATACTGATTCCTCCAATCCAAGAACATGGTATATTTCTCCATCTGTTTATGTCATCTTTGATTTCTTTCATCAATGTTCTATAGTTTTCTGAGTACAAGTCTTTTGCCTCCTTAGGCAGGTTTATTCCTAGGTATTTTATTCTTTCTGTTGCAATGGTAAATGGGAGTGTTTCCCTAATTTCTCTTTCTGATTTTTCATTGTTGGTGTGTAGGAATGGCAGAGATTTCTGTGCATTAATTTTGTATCCTGCAACCTTACCAAATTCATTGATTAGTTCTAGTAGTTTTCTGGGGGTATCTTTAGGATTTTCTCTGTATAGTATCATGTCATCAGCAAATAGTGACAGTTTTACTTCCTCTTTTCCAATTTGTATTCCTTTTATTTCTTTTTCTTCTCTGATTGCCATGGCTGGGACTTCCAAAACTATGTTGAATAATAGTGGTGAGAGTGGACATCCTTGGCTTGTTCCTGATCCTAGTGGAAATACTTTCAGTTTTTCACCATTGAGTATGATGCTCGCTGTGGGTTTGCCATATATGGCCTTTATTATGTTGAGGTAGGTTCCCTCTATGCTCACTTTCTAGAGAGTTTTTATCATAAATGGTATTGAATTTTGTCAAAAGCTTTTTCTGCATCTATTGAGATGATCATATGGTTTTTATTCCTTAATTTGTCAATGTGGTGTATCACATTGATTGACTTGTGTCTATTGAAGAATCCTTGCATCCCTGGGATAAATTCCACTTGATCATGGTGTATGATCCTTTTAATGTGCTGTTGGATTCTGTTTGCTAGTATTTTGTTGAGGATTTTTGCATCTATGTTCATCCGTGATACTGGCCAGTAGTTTTCTTTTTTGTGATATCTTCTTCTGGTTTTGGTGTCAGGGTGATGGTGGCTTCATTGAATGGAGTTGGGAGTGGTTCTCCCTGTGCAATTTTTTGGAAGAGTTTGAGAAGTGTCACTGTTAGCTCATCCCTAAATGTTTGATAGAATTTGCCTGTGAAGCCATCTGGTCTTGGACTTTTGTTTGTTGGAAGATTTTTAATTATGGTTTCAATTTCATTACTTGTTATTGGTCTGTTTATATTTTCTAATTCTTCCTGGTTTAGTCTTGGAAAATTGTACCTTTCCAAGAACTTGTCCATTTCTCCATGGTTGTCCATTTTATTGGCATATAGTTCTTTATAGTAGTCTCTTATAATCCTTTGATTTCTACAGTGTCAGTAGTAATTTCCCCTTTTTCATTTCTAATTTTATTGATTTGCATCCTTTCCCTTTTTTTCTTAATGAGTCTGGCTAAGGGTCTATCAATTTTGTTTATCTTCTCAAAGAACGAGCTTTTAGTTTTATTGATCTTTGCTATTGTTTTCTTTGTTTCTATTTCATTTATTTTTGCTCTGATCTCTGTTCTTCCCTTCTGTTGACTTTGGATTTTCTTTGTTCTTCTTTCCCTAGTTGTTTTAAGTGTAGGGTTACATTGTTTATTTGTGATTTTTCTTGTTTCTTGAGGTGAGATTGAATTGCTATAAACTTCCTTCATAGAGCTGCTTTTGCTGTGTCCCATAGGTTTTGGGTCATCATGTTTTCATTGTCATTTGTTTCTATGTATTTTTTAAATTTCTTCTTTGATTTCTTCAGCGATCTCTTGGTTATTTGGTAGTGCACTATTTAGCCTCCAGGTATTTGTTTTTCTTAGTTTTTTCCTGCAATTGATTTCCAATCTCATAAAGTTGTAGTCAGAAAAGATGCTTGATATGATTTCAATTTTCTTAAATTTTCTGAGGCTTGAGTTTTGACCCAAGATATGATCCATCTTGGAGAATGTTCCATGTGCACTTGAGAAGAAAGTGTATTCTGACACTTTTGGGTGGAATGTTCTATAAATATCTATTAGTTCTATCTGGTCTATTGTGTCATTTAAAGCTTGTGTTTCCTTATTTATTTTCTGTTTGGATGATCTGTCCATTGGTGTAAGTGGGGTGTTAATGTCCCCTACTATTATTGTGTTACTGTCAATTTCTTCTTTCATGGTTGTTAGCATTTGCCTTATGTATTGGGGTGCTCCTATGTTGGGTGCATAAATATTTATAATTGTTATATCTTCTTGGATTGATCCTTTGATCATTATGTAGTTTCCCTCCTTATCTCTTGTAACAGTCTTTATTTTAAACTCTATTTTATCTGATATGAGTGTTGCTATTCCAGCTTTCTTTTGATTTCCATTTGCATGGAATATCTTTTTCCATCCCTTCGCTTTCAGTCTGTATGTGTTCCTAGGTCTGCAGTGGGTCTCTTGTAGACAGCATATATATGGGTTTTGGTTTTGGATCCCTTCAGCCAGTCTGTGTCTTTTGGTTGGGACATTTAATCCATTTACATTCAAGGTTATTATCGGTATGTATGTTACTATTACAATTTTCTTCATTGTTTGGGGTTTGTTTTTGTGGGTATTTTCCTTCTCTTGTGTTTTCTGCTTAGAGAAGTTTCTTTATCATTTGTTGTAAAGCTGGTTTGATGGTGCTGAATTCTCTTAGCTTTTGTTTGTCTGAAAAGCTTTTGACTTCTCTATCGAATCTGAAGGAGACCCTTGCTGGATAGAGTAATCTTGGTTGTAGATTTTTCTCTTTCATCACTTTAAGTATATCTTGCCACTCCCTTCTGGCCTGCAGAGTTTCCACTGAAAAATCAGCTGTTATCCTTATGGGGATTCCTTTGTATGTTAATTTTTGTTTTTCCCTTGCCACTTTTAAAATTTTTTCTTGGAATTTAATTTTTGCTAGTTTGATTAATGTGTGTCTTGCTGTGTTTTTCCTAGGGTTTATCCTTTATGTAACTCTGTGTGCTTCCTGGACTTGGGTGACGATTTCCTTTCCCATGTTAAGGAAGTTTTCCAGTATAATCTCTTCAAATATTTTCTCAGACCCTTTCTTTTTCTCTTCTTCTGGGACCCCTATAATTCAAATGTCAGTGC